TAATAGATTATATTTAATATAATCTGCCAACTAACTTTGGCTAGAATTCATAAAATCAGCCCCTGAAAGAGTTAATGGGCCTTAAAAAGAGAATTGTGCTTCTTACCGCAAAGAAAGTAATGAATGAAGTGTTTTTCTTCATCTAAGATCAATAATGAGCTAAATAAATCTTACAATAAGAGATTATTTCTTCATAATAACAATCAGTGACTTTGTGTTACTGGGACAGACTACCATTACTGGTGCTTTACTCTTAACACAATGACAATAATCTGGTTCCTCTGCTGACTGTTACGGGTTGAGTGGAGCTCAGTATTTGGCAGAAACAGACACTGACCTCTGTGATGTTGTTGTGGTCCACATTGAGCTTCCTCAGTGCCGGGAACATGGCTGTGTGAGATCCTACAGAGGGAACATCAGAACAACTGTAAATATTAACGCAGGGAGCAGTTAAATATTTACGACGGAGTGTTAGGGCCAGACTAAGAGAAAAATGTTATTTTTGGGGGGGAAATTACGAGAAAAAGTCCTAATATTGCGAGAATAAAGTCGTTATATTAGAAGACTTTATTCTTTTAATATTACGACTTTATTTATTTTATTCATTTATTTATTTTTCCTCTCAGTATGGCCCTAATACTCTGTCGTAAATATTAAAATCTGACTTTAAGTTAGGTTTACCGGGAGCGGCGTCATCGAACCGAAGCTCAGACAGTCCGGTCCTTGACAGGTCCAGATCCTCCAGTCTGCAGTCAGAGAACAGAGTTTATTTCAGGAGCTTCAGATGGTCGACTGAACCGACGAGGAGAGTCTCAGTCGACCCGCTTTCCATCAGTCGGACAGTCGCAGAACAACAACGACGACGACAACGACAACAACAACAACAACAACAACAACAACAACAACGACAACAAGACCAACGACGACAAACACCGAGCCCATCGGAAAGAGGAGCCAGTTTACAGAGCGTTTTAGTGAAGTTGGAGGCTGTTTATTCTGTGTTTTAAAGACTCTGATGTTACACTATTACAATGTTCAGTCTCTGCGCTGGTTGTTCAGAACCAGAATCAGAACCGCTGTTTCTGAATGTAAACTGAGATAAACTGCAGGTTCCATAAACAGCTGTATCTCAGGGTCTCTGTCAGCGAACGGACGACAGCAGAGTTCCTGTTTCTCTTCTGCAGCAACGTCCATTAAAGTCGTTACTTTAAAGTTTGAGCTGAAGATTTCTCTGTAGATGTAAATACAGTTTCTGCTGCTTCAATTTAATTTAGGAACCAACATAAGAACTATTTCACTGAAGAAATGAACTCCTCCACATTGGATCAGAAACAGTTTGAACCTCTAGAAGAAGCTGATGGATGAGTGCTGACTGGCTCCATGTTGGTTCTGTAGTTCTGTTCCAGGTTGACTGAACCGGTTTCATTATATGTGACAATTAAACATTTTAAAGTGAAAGTTATAGAACTGTTAGGCACTAAAACTCGATATAAATGAATACACACCTGGACAGAGCAGCTACACTGAGCACAGTCTCCTGCACTAGAGGATTGGAGGACAGACTGAGACTCTTCAGGGACCGCAGGACTCCGTCGGGCCTTTAAAACATCACACAGACGCCAGTTAGACAAAGTCTGCGCAGCCCGAACGTCAGCGAGGGAAACACAACCAACGTTACCTCTGCAGCTCTGTGATGTTGTTCTCCTGCACTGACAGATCCTCCAGCTGCGGCCACATGGGGGCGCACTCCAGGATCTGACCCCAGACCAGCACGGATACAGAAGAGTTCACAGGGAGAGGAAGTGGTTAGTCTGGACTTTTATTGTGAAATTTATCAACACTTAACAACTTTCAGTGATTGTGGGTAAGAGGGAGCGTACCTGCGGCCAGGTGAGGTCGCAGCTGTTGAGGACGAGGACTCTGAGGCTGCTGAACGCCTGGAGGTGAGCCGAGGGGTCGGAGGGGAAACGCAGCCTGTTGTTGCTAAAAGATAAAAGAAGAAGAAGTTCAGAGGACACACACACACACACAAACAC